CCTGTCCTCTCTGACGTCAACTAACCATCTCCACTTACGATCTCCACTGACCACACTGAAACCATCAGACACCTACCGGTCCTGGTGATTTACATGGACTACACTAACTCCAATGATATCTACATCAACGGACTCCCGCCACAACGATCAGACACCTACCGCTCCCGGTCATTTACATGGACTACCCTGACCCCACTGATATCTACACCACCTGCCCACCGCCACAACCAGCAGACACCTACCGCTCCTGGTCATTTACATGGACTACACTGACGACCCCAAGGACCCCAAATACCACCTCTACTGCCCACTTCCAATGACCACACTGATCATCTCTTCTAAAATGACTGACCATCTCTACTGACCACCTCCAAAGGTCTCTCTGATAACACTGTCTATTGATCACCTCCACTGACCACCTCCACTAACCATACTGACCACCTCCACTGACCTCACAGACATCTTTTTTTAACTGACCACCTCCACTGACAACACGGAAATCTACCTCTTCTGACCACCGGAACTGACCCCAATGACCACCTCACTGACCACCCCTCCTGACCTCTCTGACATATTCGTTCACTGACCACCTGTACTTACTGCTCTGGTCACCTACATTGACCTCACTGACATCAACTGACTACCTTTAAAACCAACAGACATCTACCTCTACTGGTCATTTTCACGGATTACACTGAGTATCCCAACAAACCTCACTCACAACCTCTTCTGACACCTCAAAATGGCTTTCTGATATCTATCCCTTATGACCACTACCACTGACCAAACTGACCACCTACACTGACCAGTTCAAAAGGTCTTTTTGATATCACTCTCTACTGACCACCACCAGTGACAACCTCTACTGACCTCACTAATCACCATTACTGACCTCACTGAACACCTGCAATGGTCTCTCTGATATCTACCTCTACTGACCACATCAACTGACCACACTGATCACCTCACTGACCACCCCTCCTGACCTCTCTGACGTATGCCTCCACTGACTCTAATTACCATCTCAACTAAACAAACATCTACGTCTACTGACAATCTCCACTATCTACATTGACATCTTTCTCTATTGACCTCCTACACTGACTACTTCAACTGCTCTCTGATATCTACCTCTACTGACCTCCTCCAATAATCAACTGACTACACTGACCACCTACGCTAACTTCACTGACCAAATCTACTAACATCACTGACATCTACCTCTACTGACCACCCCCACTGACCTTATTGGCATCTAATTCTAATGACCACTTCCACTGACCACACTGACATCTACCTTTATTGACCACCTCAACTGGCCACCCTGACCACCCCTCCTGATCTCTCTAACATCTACGTCTATCCATCTCTACTACATGTATCTACACTGACATCTATCTCTACTGATTTCATCCACTGTTAACCCCTGCTTACTACACTGATCACCTACATTTTCCTCACTGACATCTACATCAACTCACTACCGTAACATTTACCTTACTGACACAGACCACCTGTTCTGACAACTCCGATATCTATCTTCACCGATCACTTCAACTGACCACACTGACATCTACCTCTACTGAGCACCTCAACTGACCACACTGACCACCTCCAATGACCATCCTGACCACTTCCGCAGACCTCATTGACATCTACCTCTACTGACCACCTCAACTGACCACACTGACATCCTCACTGACCATACTGACCACCCTTCATGACCTCTCTTACATCTACGTCCACTGACCATCTCAACTGACCACACTGACCACCTCCTTTGAGCATACTGACCACCTCCGCTGACCTCACTGACATCTACCTTTACTGACCTCCTCAACTGACCACACTGACGTCCTTACTGACCAACCCTCCTGACCTCTCTGACGTCAACTAACCATCTCCACTTACGATCTCCACTGACCACACTGACATCTACATCTACTGAGGACCTCAACTGACCACACTGACCACCTCCACTGACCATCCTGACCACTTCCACAGACCTCATTGACATCTACCTCTACTGACCACCTCAACTGACCACACTAACAATCTCACTGACCATACTGACCACCCTTCATGATCTCTCTTACATCTACGTCCACTGACCATCTCAACTAACCACACTGACCACCTCCTTTGAGCATACTGACCACCTCCGCTGACCTCACTGACATCTACCTTTACTGACCTCCTCAACTGACCACACTGACCACCCTTCCTGACCTCTCTGACGTCAACTAACCATCTCCACTTACGATCCCCACTGACAACACTGACATCTACCTCTACTGAGCACCTCAACTGACCACACTGACCACCTCCACTGACCATCCTGACCACTTCCGCAGACCTCATTGACATCTACCTCTACTGATCACCTCAACTGACCACACTGACAACCTCACTGACCATACTGACCACCCTTCATGACCTCTCTTACATCTACGATTACTGACCATCTCAACTGACCACACTGACCACCTCCTTTTATCATACTGACCACCTCCGCTGACCTCACTGACATCTACCTTTACTGACCTCCTCAACTGACCCCACTGAACACCTAACTGACCACCCCTCCTGACTTCTCTGACGTCAACTAACCATCTCCAATTACGATCTCCACTGACCACACTGACATCTACCTCAACTGACCACCTTAACTGATCACCTCACTGACAACACTGAACACCCCTCCTGACCTCTCTGACATCTACTTTGAATGACCATCTCCACTATCTACACTGACATCTATCTCTACTGACCTCCTCTACTGACTACCTCCGCTTATTCTACTGACCACCTACATTTACCTTACTGACATCTACATCAACTGACTACCGTAACAATTAACAGACACCTACAAAATGTACATCTACTGGTCGTTTAAACAGACTACACTGACGACCAAAACTGATTTCACTAACCACCTATACTGACCACCTCTAATGGGCTCTCTGCTATCTACCTAATCTGACCATCTCCACATTCTACAGAGACACCTTTATCTGCTGACCACCTCCACTGATCATGCTGACCACCTACACTGACCACAATGACATCTACATCAACTGAATACCCTCACAACCAACAGACACTTAACCCTACTGGTCATTTACACGGACTTCACTGACAACCCCCGCTGACCTCACTGACCACCTCTACTGACCACCTCCAAAGGTCTCTCTGATATCGCTGACTATTGATCAACTCCACTGACCACCTCCACTAACCACACTGACCACCTCCACTGACCTCACTGACCTCTTTTTCTACTGACCACCTGTACTGACAACGCCGATATCTATCTTTACCGACCACCTCAACTGACCACACTGACATCTTCCTCTATTGAGCACCTCTACTGACCAAACTGACCACCTCCACTGACCATACTGACCACTTCCGCTGTCCTCATTGACATCTACCTCTACTGACCACCTCAGCTTACCACACTGACCACCTCACTGACCACACTGACCACCCCTCCGGACCTTTTCGACATCTACGTCCACTGACCTCCTCAACTGACCACACTGATCACCTCACCAACCACCCAACCTGACCTCTCTGACGTCAACTAACCATCTCCACTTACGATCTCCACTGACCACACTGACATATACCTCTACTGACCACCTCAACTGACCAATTTAACCAACTTACTGACCACACTGATCATCCCTGACCTCTTTGATATCAACGTTAAATGACCGTCTCCACTATCTACCCTGACCTCTTTCTCTACTTACCATCTCTACTGACCACCTCCAATTGGCCGTCTGATATCTATTTCTATCGAAAACTTCCACTGATCCGATGACCAACTCTACTAACCAACCCCAAAGGTCTCTTTGATATCGCTTCTACTGGCCACCACCACTGACCACCTCCACTGACCACCTCCATTTACCACACTGACTACCTGCATTGACCTCACTGACTTTTTTTTAATGACCACCCCTACTGACAACACAGAAAATTACTTCTACTGATCATCTTCACTGATCACACTGACATATACATCTAAAGACCACCTCAGCTAGCCAAACTGACCACCAATTCTGACCTCTACTGACCACCTCAGCTGACCACTGATCACAATGACATTTACATCTACTGACCTAACTGACCACACTAACATCTACCTCTACTGACCACCTCAACTGACAACACTACCATCTGCTTCTACTGACCGCCTCAACTGACCACACTGATCACGCTGACATCTACAAATACTGACCTCACTGACCACCTCTACTAACATGATTGACATCTACCTTTGCTTACCACCTCTACTGACCACACTGACCACCTTCTACTGACCTTTCTGACATATACACCGCTACTGACCATCTACACTGATTACACTAACATCTATATCTACTGACCACATTTACTGATCACATTAAATGACCTAAATTACCACCTACACTGTCTTCACTGACCACATCCACTGTCTATACTTACCACCTCCACTGGCAACACTGACCACTTCCACTGACCTCACTGCTATATTTCTCTAATGCCCACATCCATTGAACATTGAAGCTGACATCTACTGTCTATACTGACCACCTCCACTGACCATACTGACCACCTCCACTGACTTCACTAACATCTACCTCTACTGACCACCACCACTGACAACACTAATATTAACTTGTGTCGCCTTAAAACCAAACATTAGTTCTCATCATAATTACTTCGCCTTGAAATCTTTGTTTCATACATATATGGTTACTTTCACACAGTCAAATTTCGCCCATCACCGATATAATCCATGTTCACCCAGCCTTAATTCCGTCATTCCCATTTTATTTTTTTGTGTTTTGAGATGTTATCTTATAATTCCTCTAATAATAGATTCGTCCTCAATATGAAAGACAAAAATGCGAACTTTTATCGGCAGTGAACGATTCCCGGTAATTGGTATTAATGTTGTACACTTATTTTACTTTTAAAAAAACAAGCAAACAAGCAAAATATGTAGTATAAACATTTTATTGGAAAAAAATATTGCTTTCTCACATTTTATTACGTAATGAAAAAAATATATGAGAAAGGGTATATTAACCCATAAAAAGGGTATATAATTTCGTGCAATCCTAAATATCGACCATGTTCGTTTTCTAAGTAATATCAATGACCAATATTTATATCCCTAATGAAAACAAAGTCATCCCAATCATCAGTATCGAACAGCTTGACATCCTTCTGTAACACGTTTTACAGAAATAGAATTTATACTAAGAAGTCAATAAACATATCGCAAAAGGTCAATGTAGAGGCAAGGAACGGTCTTTGGTCAAACTGGTAACCATTAAGGTTGGAAATGCATGTAGTTTTATCTTTATGATGGTTTGAAACAAAGTTGCGATCAAATATATTAAATGATGCGCGGTATCGCATTCATAATAAAATGTTTGAACGGAACTGTGTTGCATACCATAACAAATATGAAAAAGACACCTTTCGATCCTTATATTTATGTTCATATCGTCAAAGACAAAGGCAATGTTCTTTCAGCATTCATAGTGGTCAAATTCAGTTCAAAACATCAAAAATTCAGTTATTTAAACAGAACTTTCCTCTCCATTGCAAACGCTTGCCGAAAATGATATTTGTGTTGACAAAATAGACTGTTTGGATTAAAAATCATTTGTGGAAAAATATTTAAAACATCGTGGTTCATCTTTAGACTATATACAGTTGTACTAGTGCTATAGTATATTAGTGTGTCTTGTTACAGACACATTTGCACATGCATATTAACTGAGTACATCTTATGCTGTAGCGATACAAAGATCCTTATTGTGCCACAAGAAGAAATATAAATAATTGCTTCATTATCTACTCCATTCGATATTTTACAAGTGTGACTCAAAACTTCATAAAATACATAGGCAACTTAACGTTTTTAAAACATTGCTGGCTTTCATCCGAATCCTTTCTTTGTTATGTAAGATTTGAGCAATTTGTAGCTCAAAGTCATTATGATTGTGCCAATATATTATACATATTATTCAATGTTACATATTCAATTGTAAATTGTAAGAAAATCAATTAAAACAATAATCCTGCACAAATAAGAATGATTTATATATACAATATAATCAGTGCAGTAAATGGCAGTATATAGAAACATAAATAGTACTACATAAGTAGCAGTCAGCTTATATAAAATGATCAAATGTCTGTAAAGGCTAATGTCTTTTGACATAGTTTCCATTGGTCTTTGTTTATTTACATGAAGCTATTCTTTTCTGGTAGAATAGAGGATTTTCATTAATGTTCCTATATTTTTGTCTTTATTGTGAATGCTGCAACCTTTCTATCCTCTCCTTAGCACCGTTTAGAAATTGGAAATATGTCTTGCTTCTCATAGAGTCCCTATATTCCCTGAGAGCCTGGCGTGTGTCCCCAACCATTTCATGGCATATCCCCAAGAAATTGTGTACTATCCAATTTTCACCAACTCCCTGTTTCTTATCATACTTCACTGCTTGAAGATGTGTCAATGCTGCGTCACGTCTTCTGGTGTCGCCAAGCTCATGATGACATAGAAATGTCAGGAACACAGCATATGGAAGTGGAGGGGTCAAAAGCTGGTCATTCCTAGTTCCTTTTGTAAACTCCGGATGTAACTGGTATGGACAGAATTGTACACAATCAAATGGAAAAAAGACAGATGCTACACATACGTCCTTGCATTTGTGTAGTAGAGTGTATCCCCGCCCACAGTAGAGGCTTTCATACTGGTCTGCGTCGTTGTCATCTAATTGCAATCTCCCTAGAATGTAAAGTTGAAATGACGACATCATATGTTCGCATATCTCCAGTGTTTTCTTGTAGTTTCCAGTCTGGTAGTAATATGTTGCCAGTGTTAGTAGTCCCGGACTTGTGCACACTGTAGAAAGTGGTTGCATCAGGTTTTTGGATTTCCTAAGGTATTTGTACTTCTCTTTATTTCCTTTGGCAGGAATGTGTTTTTCGAAAATACCCATCCCTGTATAGGACAGTGCACGTACTGCTGTGATGTAAGCTATAAATTCATCAATGTCTGATTTTGATTTAGAAAGAAGTGAAAGTTGCGCAGGAAGGGAATCATACTCTAGGACCCCTATGAATACCCCATGGTATAGTTTAATGTCACAATTCCTTTCTGATTCTGTTGGTCGACTAAGCACCAATTGCCATGCTCCATCCCTCACACTATTTATTCGTTTTCCTATAGACGGTTGTATGGCCGTACCAACTGACAAACATTCCCATTTCATATTATAAAGTTCAACGAGGATGTGAAGAAGTTTTTGTTGATTTTCACCATGAACTTTGCCTAGGAACATATTGTTGTTGCTGATAAAGTAATTGGGACAATATCCCGCATTCACCCAGGCGATCAAAACCTTTAAGCAAAGTATAAAACAGAAAAAGGTATTTTTCTCTTGCCATAAAGAATCAGGTGTGCTTTCCACAACATAAAATATAACTGTTTTTATAATATAGGATGATAGGATATCTTCATCCCCAAATATCTGCTTTAACCTGTCAGATATTTGCTTGAGGAAGTACTTGTGAAGTCCATATACTAGAAATTGTGTATGAGTAAGAGAATGAACAAGTTTCTTTTCTGCAGCTGTAAATGAAATCCGCCATTGTAGGAATGTGTCAGCAGACGTTCTGTCTCCTACAGGGACAAGATGACAACCGCCCTGTACTATCTGATCTCTCGAAGCTTTATCTGGCCATCCATGGAGGCGAGGCCGACTCACCCACTCATAAGCTTCGAGTGGCCATTGAGAACACGGAAAAGAATATACAAGATCACTACCAATTGATACGGTATTGTGTTTTAACGTATAAGTAGCAGCTGGACCATGTTCAACCACAGTTGATTTTTCACAATTTGCAACTCTATCAGCAATATTCTTTCTGCAAATTTCACTTGATATGAAAAATCGATCTCCATTTCGAACAATGGATTGCATGGTCAGACTATTGCATCTAGGTAACAGATTCACTAGTTCAAGGGTCACATAGCCAGGCCGGCTGTGCGGAGCATCTCTCATAATAAAAACTGTTTTATCTTTGCTCTCCAAAAGAATACCCGAGTCATGAAAAGGGTATGTTACTTCCACAGTTGTGTCAACAAGCATGTTATCAATGTCTGATCCTGTCATTTCGATCCCCTCGTAGAAGCTTCCCGTTTGAACCTGCAGCATTCCTTTATGTGTGGATTTCCTTATATACTCCCACAGCAATTCTATACTCCTCCTCGTTGCTAAAATCTCCGGGCTGCCTATAAATCTGTCAAGGATATGATATAGAATCCAAGACTTTTCGTATTGCTCACCCTGATCGGCCATCTCAGTGATATGTCACAGATCCTGTAAATACATAATTGGGATATCGTTATTCTATTTGATGAGTTACATTTCATATCTTAGTAAACAAGTAAAAAAATTATAAGAATGATCCTACTTGCCAAACTTACCATACAAGTTGGTTAATGTTACGCCCAATATCGTGTTGCAATGGTGATTTCGTGACAATCTTCGCAGAGAACGCAAATTGTTCGCAAAGATATTTCAAGAGAAAGCGCTTTAGAGTGGCTTATGTTAGCTAGATAGGGCGCTATATCAAATGTTGTATATTATTATTTAGTGACGATTAGAACAGCATATTTCTAAAAATCACGAGATGAAATGACAATGTACAATGAGCGTAGAATAGCAGCATATAACGGAATGAACGAATCACAATCAACTAGATTATGTTTATAACGCTTGGTGACGTTGAAAGCACTATCCATACGTTTGGTGTCGCAATACCCTTTTGTTTCCGTGCTTTGCTGAGGTTTATTTATGAGACTGTAATGAATTCATAGCATGAGCACTATTGCTACGACTGCTTGCAGTTGACTACGGACTAGGAAAATAGTTTTAAAAATATTATCTAAAATCACCCAGCGGTTAAATCGACGTTTATTTAAAATGAGTATGCCACTCATTCAATAAGTTATTTGTTTTCTTAAAATTGAAAACATATTAATCAAATGAGATAACTTTTATGTTAAAAAAAAAGAAGAAAAATAGCAATGAACTACCTAGTTACTGGTTACTGACCTACTTCTATAACTGCAACATGTGTCGCAGACAAACTGAATGGTGCGTAACACAGCTATCCAAGTGTTTCTGCAACATCTTTGCAGTATATTGCTCACGAAGAGTTCCATTATTGACGTATGCACAATATACCTTGTTTCATCAAAAAAAATTACGTATGGGTAAAACAAAAACAAACAAGAGGCCCATGGGCCTTAAAGGTCACCTGAGTTATGCAAAACTGATATTATCGATGTTGCCAAATGAAAAAGAAATCCTTTTGTAATAAAGGTACATTCTTTAACTTGAACTACATGTAAAGGGTCATGAAATTCACAATTTTGGTAAAACACCTTACATGTAAGACCCTTCCATCTATGAAGAATATTTAATTCTACCATATCTGGATCTTGAGAAGAAGATTTAGAAATTTTAGTCAATTTGAACCTTTTTGGCCGCGCCTGGGGGCTGGGGACCATATAATTTACAATTAAACTATAGTAAAGTTTACCCCCTCCCCAGGGTCATGAAATTCACAATTTTAGTAAAGCACCTTAAGACCCATCTATATATGAAGAGTATTTGATTCTAACATATCTGTATCTTGAGAGGAATATTTTTGAAATTTCAGTGAATTCAACCCTTTTTGGCCCCATCCATCAGCCCCTGGGTGTCAGTCAGGGCTGATTTATGCATATCAGCAAACTGCTATCCAATACTGATAATGCTAACCAAGTTTGAATTAATTCAATTGGAAATTAAACAAATGCTGGTCCAAAATGTGATTTCCATATATAAACTATAGTAAAGTTTAACCCCTCCCAGGGGGAAACGTGAGATCCCAGGTTCATGAAATTGACAAATTTGGTAAAGCACCTTAAGACCCTTCCATCTATGAAGAGTTTTTGTTTCTACCATATATTGATCTTGAGAAGAAGATTTTTGAAATTTCAGTCAATTTGACCCTTTTTGGCCCCGCCCCTCATGCCACTGGGGACTGGGGAGCATATAATTCACAATTGTGGTTGATCTTTGGCCATGAAAGGTTTCTGCAAAATTTCATTGAAATTGGTTGAGGGGTTTTGGAGAAGAAGTCGAAAATGTAAATTGTTTACGGACGCACGACGCCGGACAAAAGGCGATCGCAATAGGTCACTTGAGACTTTTTTTCTTAGGTGACCTAAAAAGGCAATGATATCAATGCTGTTTTATGTGAAACATATTTTCTCCTGTGGTAAATTGCGGAGGTAAAAGTAGAAATAGTACTTGTTTTTTATACATATCTTGGCAAATAAAATTTAATCCATAGTAAATGCAGAGCTGGACATCCGTTGTAACAGAGAGTTGGACACAAAGGGGTGTGGGGTTATATTATTAGTTCTTATGGAGTGACAGAGTATATTGACCAAATAAGGCATCATGTACTTTCCTTGGTCACTAAAATGCAATGTAGCAAATATGTGTCAGCCCCCGTAAAGATGATGGAGAGGTTAGCAACGAAACTGGAATATGACTGTCCTTTGGGAACTAATATTGAGATTTAAGCCTATTTTTTTCTATGGCCCTTCTTTAGGGTAATACTATAACGTGACTAGTAAAATTCGGCGTTGCATAAATGAAACAATGTTGTCATCACGGGAGTGCGGCAAAAGCAATAGAACATGGTAAGATATCAGGCTGATTTGTTCTGGGGAGTAAACTGGTAGGAGATAATTTCGGAAACGAGGCAAAACATTTTCAATGCGTGAGACATCTTTTTGAAATCAATGTGTTTTTTTAAATTCCCCAAGCTCTTATTATGTAGATAACGTGAACATATATCATGTAATTAAAAGTTTTGATAGCTTACCAGTATTTGCTCAGCTAAGTAATAGTCAAAGGATTGATGAGGAGCACAGGTTAATTTTTTTAAACATCATGTATATTCCAGTTGGTCCAGTCGCCTTTCTAACACTGTGGATATTGCCGGAATTCTTCTGTACTGAGTGTTGTCATAGGTCCACCGCAGTATTTGTAGAATACAGGAAGCACAATGATTTTGTTCACACTAGTCACTACAGGGATTTATCACATTGGCGGACAAAAAACCCCAACTTAATGTTTCACATTCCAGACACGATATGATTAGTATAAAAACCAGTTTAAGATTTGCCCTGTTGGGTGAATCAGAATAAGAGCCTGGCCTTCTGCTGCCAATTGTATCGTATCTCCGTACACACTTGCTCTCATCTGCCCAGTCCGTTGATTGTTGCTGTTTTATACGTGGACAAAAACGGAAATGACGTTCATATATATACATGTATATATGTATAATGATACATTTTCCCTATAACTTAATGCAATAAATTGGTGATGAGTCATATGTTATATTTGAGGTACGAAAGTATAGTGGTAAGACGCATGGCTCGTGACCGAAGTGTTTCGGGTTCGAGTCACGTCACGACACTGTGTTGTATCCTTGAGCAAGATACTTTAATCCGATTGTTCCAGTCTACTCAGCTGTAAATGAGTGCATGGTTAGGCATTACTAGAATTGCTGATGCTAGCTGAGAGCGCCGAAATGGCAGCACCCGCTGTATGCTCCCATGGGAGTTGATAAAGATATCGGCTGGTTGCAAAGGCCCTATAACCACGGATAATAATTTGTGAACCGCCTTGAGACAAACTAGGTTGTGATAAAGCGGTATATAAGAACATCGAATTAGTATTATAATTATTTGTTATATTATATTACCTTTCTATTGCATGCAACAAATATTACTGGTATTACCAAATATAATTTGCAAGGCAGGAAACGTATCTATATTGTAATATACATGCTTAAATGAAGGACTGAGTTTACACACAGACCGCTGATTTCGATCTATTGGTTTAGCCCTTTCATCCGATACAGTAACTATATACTTCCATTAGGCAATGATCAATGACAAATTTCCAGTATAACAAACTTTCCGTGGTCAACTACAATCGGGCCAATAGGGCTAGAATTGTACTTGATTTTTCCAAAATTCATTTGTCTCTTGCAGTTCTTAAGAGTTTTTATTTTATTTATTAATATATTAATTGATTTGCTTTATATCAAAAAATGTACTGACGGTATTGCAGAGCATTCATATGGATCAGTAAGTTCAATTATCTAGAATTGTGTTGACACATTTTCCATCTGAACCAATACGTTCTAGAGTCCGATAGGGGAGTCAAGCCCTGGCCGTATTTGTGAAAGGTGTGTGCTCTATCCACTGCGCGACCCGACCATCTAATATCCATATAGGCATGTGAACTCAATAGGTTGTACGTGTGGCTTTATATGTGTGTAAGACAATGCTTTACAATTACATTTGATGTAATCATGTTAGCGATTTATTCCTCAATCCTAAACCAGATCCATAGGATATACATGTACAGTGTACATGCATTCCTCAATCCTTAAATTTATCCATAGGTTATACATGTACAGTGATCTTGTATGTTAGCGATGTATTCCTCAATCTAAACCAGATCCATAGGATATACATGTACAGTGTACATGCATTCCTCAATCCTTAAATTTATCCATAGGTTATACATGTACAGTGTACTTGAATGTTAGCGATGTATTCCTCAATCCTATACCTGATCCATAAGATGTACATGTACAGTGTACATGTATATAAGCATTTGGACATTTTAAAATGTTTATACATTTAAGTTAAATTTTGTCTTCGATTGAAAGTTACAAACATAACGAGAGTAGGTCATTCTTCGAATGTTTCTTATAAGTCGTTAGAAATAGTCAGGTGTCTTTGAAAACTGATTCCTAGACTGATCAATATCAAAATTACATACCAGCTAAAACATGTATATGTCATACATTCTCAGGGTGAACCTCATGTTAATATCTCCAAAATGCTCTCTCTCTCTCTCTCTCTCTCTCTCTCTCTCTCTCTCTCTCTCTCTGAATCATAATGATAATGACAATATGATGATGATGATGATGATGATGATGATGATGATGATGATTATGACTTAGTGTTAGCATGCCTTTTATTACTCTTTTGTGTGTTTTGTAATTGCTATGGCTTTTTTGTTAACATAACTTTTTTTACAGAAATAGAATTTGATCATTTGTATTATGAAAATACCTAGCTTTCGGTTGCTGGAATTTTAAATCATTATTTTTCTTACAATAATACCCTTTGAGTACGGGCGGGAAGTATTTATCAGCCTGTGTAGATTGGTGCGGCCCCTTCTTTCAGAGTTGTAACGTATCGTTGTTGATCCCTCTTGACCTCGATTGTTTATGTACTGATGCATCATGATTGATGCTGTGTGGCATTTATATATCGTAGAAACTACACCACAATTCCTCCCGCGTATGCATTCACAATCTGCTACCTTGTACACGCTTGTTTACACTATCACTTGTTGACACATAACAATTGTGGTGACGTTTTGGTCCATATGCGTTTTTAGTTTTAGTGACGGCACCTGACTGGTGAACTGAACAATAATAAAGTCGATCTCAGCTGTGATCTTGTGACTCTTCAAATAACTCATCTTACTGCGATTCCTGTATTAGTGATTCCATTTAAGTCTTAACCATACAAATCATGCACATGAACAAGTGTAATGTTTTGCTTTGATAATGTCGTCAAAATAAACTGATTGACCAAAGTGACAGCAATATCGGAAAAAAACAAGAGGTTTTTGTTATTGTTTCGTCTAAAGTACAATTGCTTCAGTTCGTCCCAGTTCGGCTGAAGCCGTTGATCGACCGTATCCTTCATTTTCGATTGTTTTCCGAGGGTCCATGGCCTGCGCTGCCTTGTAGCGTATTGGCTGAATTCAAACTGACCTTTAAATTTCTGCTGTGGATGACCTGTGACTGATCTTGCTGCCCGAAAAATATTAACGTGTTTTTTAACAACAATTTAACATTGAGAAATCCAAAGAATAAATTAAGTGCACTAAATACAAAAAAAGCATGGCATTACACTCCTTCCGTATTTTTATACCCTTTCGAGAAACTTCCCATATATAGCAGTATATGAGTATAATAATAATAATAATAATAATAATAATAATAACAACATACAACATTTGATATAGCGCCCTATCTAGCTAGCACTAGCCACTCTAAAGCGCTTTACAGTACATAAATACATGTATACAATTAATACAATTAGCATACAATGTATGTGTTTTACTGTACTATCCTGTTATGGTTGTGAGGTACTGTAGTATGTGTTTTACTGTACTATCCTGTTGTAGTTGTGAGGTACTGCAGTATGCGTTTACCTGTACTATCCTGTTGTGTTTAACTTTACTATCCTGTTGTAGTTGGGAGGTACTGTAGGATGTATTTAACTCGCTATCTTATTGTTGTAGTCGTGAGGTACTGTAGGATGTATTAAACTGAACTATCCTGGTGTAGTTGTGATGTAATGGAGTATGTGTTTAACTGTACTATCCTGTTGAAGTTGTAAGGTACTGTAGACTTTATTTAACTGTACTATCCTGTTGTAGTTGTATGTGTTTACCTGTACTATCCTGTTGTAGTTGTAAGGTACTGTAGTCTTTATTTAACTGTACTATCCTGTTGAATTTGTAAGGTACTGTAGAATTTATTTAACTGTGCTATCCTGCTGTAGTTGTGAGGTACGGTAGTCTGTGTTTACCTGTACTTTCCTGGTGTAGTTGTGATGTAATGGAGTATGTGTTTAACTGTACTATCCTGTTGTAGTTGTGAGGTACTGCAGTATGCGTTTACCTGTACTATCCTGTTGTGGTTGTGAGGTACTGTAGTATGTGTTTACCTGTACTATCCTGGTGTACAGTAGTTGTGAGGTACTGTAGTATGTGTTTACCTGTACTTTCCTGTTGTAGTTGTGAGGTACTGTGGTCTGTGTTTACCTGTACCATCCTGGTGTACTTGTGAGGTTCTGTAGTATGTGTTTACCTGTACTATCCTGTTGTAGTTGTGAGGTACGGTAGTCTGTGTTTACCTGTACTATCCTGGTGTAGTTGTGAGGTACTGTAGTATGTGTTTACCTGTACTATCCTGGTGTAGTTGTGAGGTACGGTAGTCTGTGTTTACCTGTACTTTCCTGGTGTAGTTGTGAGGTACTGTAGTATGTGTTTACCTGTACTTTCCTGTTGTAGTTGTGAGGTACTGTAGTATGTATTTGACTATACTATCCTGTTGTAGTTGTGAGTACTGTAGTATATATTTAACTGAACTATCCTGTTGTAGTTTTGAGGTACTGTAGTCTGTGTTTATCTGTAATATCCTGTTGTAGTTGTGAGGTACTGTAGTATGTGTTTAACGCTAATATCCTGTTGTAGTTGTGAGGTACTGTAGTATGTGTTTAACGCTACTATCCTGTTGTGTTTACCTGTACTATCCTGTTGTAATTGTGAGGTACTGTAGTATGTGTTTTACTGTAGTATCCCTTTGTAGTTGGATGTACTGTAGTATGTATTAAACGGTACTATCCCTTTGTAGTTGTGATGTACTGTAGTATATATTTAACTGAACTATCCTGCTGTAGTTGTGAGGTACTGTAGTATGTGTTTACCTGTACTATCCTGGTGTAGTTGTGAGGTTCTGTAGTATGTGTTTTACTGTACTATCCAGTTGTAATTATGAGGTACTGTAGTATGTGTTTTACTGTACTATCCAGTTGTAATTGTGAGGTACTGTAGTATGTGTTTTACTGAACAACCCTGTTGTAGTTGTGAGGTACTGTAGTATGTGTTTACCTCTACTATCCGGTTGTAGTTGTGAGATACTGTAGTATGTGTTTTACTGTACAATCCTGTTGTAGTTGTGAGGTACTGTAGAATGTGTTTAACGCTACTATCCTGTTGTGTTTAACTGTACTATCCTGTTGTAGATGTGAGGTACTGTAGTAGTATTTAACTGTACTACTACAGTACCTGTGATTGTGAGGTACTGTAGTTTGTGTTTTACTGTACTTTCCTGTTGTAGTTGTGAGGTACTGTAGTATGTGTTTTACTGTACTATCCTGTTGTAGTTGTGAGGTACTGTAGTATGTGTTTTACTGTACTATCCTGTTGTAGTTGTGAGGTACTGTAGTATGTGTTTTACTGAACTATCCTGTTGTAGTTGTGAGGTACTGTAGTATGTGTTTTACTGTACTATCCTGTTGTAGTTGTGAGGTACTGTAGTATGTGTTTTACTG